TTAGTGCGTTTAAAAACGTGGCATTTTTTAAAATTATTTGTATTTATAAATTATTTTCTAATTTTTAGTTTTTAGTGTGTATAGTTATTTGTGCAACTAGTGAGCAATGTGAGCAATTGCCTCACTCGAGAGAAATCCTTACTCACGAGCCGTAGGCGAATGAGGAATGGTTTCTCAAGTGAGGCGATATCACTTTGTACTCGAGTTGCACATTATTAGCGAATTTCCCTATAGGGAATTAGCTATTACCGTAGGTCTCATGGTAAGACCTAAGCCCGGGACCGATTTACTTTTTCATTTTGATGTCCCCAGAGGCCAAAAACACCATTCGTTCAAATTTTTATATATCTATATATATATATTTTAGGAAAACTGTAGTGATTAGGGCTATTATTTTGATATGTAAATGCATTATTAAAACTAAGTACCCTTTTTTTAAATTCATTTTATTTAACAACTTATTAAAATAAGTTGTTAAATAAAATATATATATATAAAAGGAAAACCCCTAACTGACTGACTGACTCACTCATCACTAATTCTCCCACTTACCACTTACCTAGAAGGCTGAAATTTGGTACACTGATTCTTTAGGCCTTAAATAGGAAAACTAAGTGGTTTTTATTCTGATCGGACTCTCGGGCTCAGCCCCAGTGGCTCTGGAGCTTCCCATGTTAACCTAATGAGTACTCATTTAAATGGAGTTATTATCTGTTATCAGATGTTTAATCTTTACTTTGAAATGCTTGTTTAATATTTTTAGAATATCTCAGGAGCAGAACCTGTACCTCTTAACCACTCTTCTATCTGTCAAATTTAAGTATTTACAGCAGACTTAAATTAATTGATATATTTACATTCTTTCAAAATGTAAACATGGAAAATTTGGAAGCTCATGGGGCGTATCCCAAGGGAAATATGAAAATTAAATTATATAATATTGCATTGTCATCCATTTGTGAGCTATGTTTAAAGTTTCTAGTCTCTAGTTCATCGGGGAGATAGTATAAAATTGATTGCAAAATTTGTACCGGACAAGAAAGCGAGCTAATAAAAACGTTTAATATAGAAACCTCTATGTCCAATATGTAAATAATGACACCAATCAATAAGAATAGGCCTATATTTTATTTAAAAATTCTCATTTTATATACAAAATATTAAAGTAAATAAGTATTGTAAGTGTGTTGTTTGTACAACCTCTTGATGTTTGTTGCAGGCATATCACTGAGGTGACAGTCAATCGTAGCAAAAGTTTATCGAGGGAAGTAACGCAACTGCAGCCTGCACTACGTCAACCACCTCCAACACTTAAGTCGCAGGTGAATATCCTATGACTACGGCCGACATATTCCTTAGACACAGCTTTTAACTAATAGCCCAAACAGATAATGTCAACTAAGGGACCTATTAAGGTGGAATCCAAACCACATTTTTGCCCCTTGGTATTAACGAATTGGTATAATTATTAGGATAGTACTGTGGGTAGTCGTAGTACTCAATATAGTGCGGACGTTAATCAACACCAGGGATTATCGCATCTACAGTCATTGTATTTTCCAACCTCTGCATCGCTTTTTCATATACTACTTAGCAAAAATGAATTTCACAATAGTCTTTTCAGTGAAACATACATACGTAATTACTACTTTTGTAATCATGTCAAAACATTGGTTTGAGTATGTCAATTATTCAGAAGTAATAGTTAAAAACATTGTTTGTTGCAGATATCTCACTGTTAATACCTCACCTGGACGAGTTATGAACCGTAAATAAAGATCAACCATACCGTCTTAACACTAAGGTGATTCAACAATCGATAGTGTGAAGGAAGCAGCAATCTGGATTCCCCTTTTTGCAGGTTTTTGGTTACTGTCTTACTAAAAGTATTACCTTTATTTTTATACAGGGTGGGTCTTAGGCAATCACCCTTAAGATTGATTCTTAGAAACACAGAAGAAATACCGGTCAATTAGAACTGGTTGTTTGACATAATGGCTAAAAAGAATTGCAATAGCAGTTATCAAAGTTGAAAACACATATACTGGTGATATGAACTACGAAGAAATCAAGGGGTACTTTGGCCTGGAAAGGTTATGAAATACGACAAGTAGTCAACAATTCCTTATTTACCCTGGAATGGACCGATACACGGGACTGTGATTTATGCAGTTCTATGATTCTGCAGTTTGCAAGTTTTCTGGGTCCTGTCCTATCAAACATGTGGATTTGTTGCGAGGGGAACCGATGACTTGTAATCTTGCAGACTCCTAGCACTATATTTATTGCAGACTCTAAAATCAGTTCATCTCAGAGTTCAGAAGGTATCGTACACCTCTTGTTGTTCCTTCATAACTCTTCTGAGTCAAATTTTCAGGTGATGAATCAGCAGCAAACACAAGTTCCAAGTATTAGTATTTTATATTACTACTCTTATTACATATGAAACTCTAGTCAATAGATAATCACAATCAATGTGAAATATATCATAGAGTAAGGGAAAGATTTGAACTTCAAAGTATGCAATTGATCATCTTTTGCTATGTATATGTTTATAGATCGCAAAACAAAAACATAGAAAAATATGATGGTTTTACAGGAAAGAATTCAAGGTGTACTTTGGTCTGGAAAGGTTATGAAATACAACAAGTAGTCAACAATTCCTTATTTACCCTGGAACGAACCGACACTTGGGACTGTGATTTATATAGTTCTATGATTCTGCAGTTTGCAAGTTTTCTGGGTCCTGTCCTATCAAACTTTAACGTGCATGCTTGTGGATTTGTTACGAGGGGAACCGATTACCTGTAATCCTGTGGACTCATAGCACTACATTTATTTCAGACTCTAAAATCAGTTCATCCCAGAGTTCAGAAGGTCTTGTGCACCGTGTGTTTGTGTCCTGTATTATTGTCCATATTTATTTATTGCATGTTATTGCCTGTTATTTTTTGCATGTATATATTGCCTGTTTTTTTTTTGCATGTATATATTGCTTGCCGTATTTATAGCTTGCATTTATAGCCTTGTCTACCCTGGAACAGACCGATACACGGGACTGTTATTTATGCAGTTCTATGATTCTGCAGTTTGCAAGTTTTCTGGGTCCTGTCCTATCAAACTTTAACGTGCATGCTTGTGGATTTGTTACGAGGGGAACCGATGACCTGTAATCTTGTGGACTCGTAGCACTACATTTATTTCAGACTCTAAAGTCAGTTCATCCCAGAGTACAGAAGGTCTTGAGCACCGTGTGTTTGTGTCCTGTATTATTGTCTGTATTTATTTATTGCATGTTATTGCCTATTTTTTTTGCATGTACATATTGCTTGCCTGTAGCTTGCCGTATTTATAGCTTGCATTTATAGCCTTGTCTACTCTGGAACGGACCGACACACGGGACTGTTATTTATGCAGTTCTATGATTCTGCAGTTTGCAAGTTTTCTGGGTCCTGTCCTATCAAACTTTAACGTGCATGCTTGTGGATTTGTTACGAGGGGAACCGATGACCTGTAATCTTGTGGACTCGTAGCACTACATTTATTTCAGACTCTAAAGTCAGTTCATCCCAGAGTACAGAAGGTCTTGAGCACCGTGTGTTTGTGTCCTGTATTATTGTCTGTATTTATTTATTGCATGTTATTGCCTATTTTTTTTTGCATGTACATATTGCTTGCCTGTAGCTTGCCGTATTTATAGCTTGCATTTATAGCCTTGTCTACCCTGGAACGGACCGACACACGGGACTGTTATTTATGCAGTTCTATGATTCTGCAGTTTGCAAGTTTTCTGGGTCCTGTCCTATCAAACTTTAACGTGCATGCTTGTGGATTTGTTACGAGGGGAACCGATGACCTGTAATCTTGTGGACTCGTAGCACTACATTTATTTCAGACTCTAAAGTCAGTTCATCTCAGAGTTCAGAAGGTCTTGAGCACCGTGTGTTTGTGTCCATTTATTGCATGTATATATTGCTTGTTATTTTTTGCATGTATATATTGCCTGTTTTTTTTTGCATGTATATATTGCTTGCCTGTAGCTTGCCGTATTTATAGCTTGCATTTATAGCCTTGTCTACCCTGGAACGGACCGATACACGGGACTGTTATTTATGCAGTTCTATGATTCTGCAGTTTGCAAGTTTTCTGGGTCCTGTCCTATCAAACTTTAACGTGCATGCTTGTGGATTTGTTACGAGGGGAACCGATGACCTGTAATCTTGCAGACTCCTAGCACTACATTTATTTCAGACTCTAAAATCAGTTCATCTCAGAGTTCAGAAGGTATCGTACACCTCTTGTTGTTCCTTCATAACTCTTCTCAGCCAAATTTTCAGGTGATGAATCTCTAGCAAACACAAGTTCCAAGTATTACCATTTTATATTACTACTCTATTACATATGGAAATAGTCTGGAAAAAATCACAAACAATGCGTGAAATCATAGTGAAAGAAAAATGTTGGAACTCATATCTTCTGAGCCAAATTTTTAGTAGAGAAATCTACAGCAAACACTAGTAGAGTAGAGACAAAAATGTATCCAAACAAAACTAAGTACAGTATGAATAAAGGAACAAAATAATTACTCTTATAGGTTCTAGTGTAATTAATATAACTCTTGTCCTCTTCTAAATCTTGTCTTTTTAGACTTTGTTTTAGATTTTCAAATTGTATTGAGCGACTTATCTATCAATGGAAATTCGTATAGTTCTTTCTGATATCTTGGAACTTTCTACACGAAGATCACATAAGCTCCACCTCTTGCAATAAGTGCTAAGGTAATTTTGTTTGATTTTTTAAATAATTAAATAAAATATAATATCAATGTTTAGTTATGATGAACAAATAAGCAATATTATAGTAATTTTTTACAAAATTGTCTTCAATATTGCAAAAATGTTTTTATACTTTTTTTCAACAACAAGAGAAAGGACACTCTAGACTTGTTTGGTTTGATATCAAAGAATTTATTTATTTATTTATATGTACATACCAACGGCAGAGCCATTTGAATTAAAGTAATAGCATTAATAGTAGTATAATTATTTAATAGTAAGTATGTTGTACGTCTAACATTTTGACATTCCTTGTTGCAGTCATATCACTGAGGTGACAGTCAATCGTAGCAAAAGTTTATTGAGGGAAGTAACGCAACTGTAGCCTGCACTACGTCAACCTCCTCCAACACTTAAGTCGCAGGTGAATATCCTATGTTTGATAACCTAATAGAAACAAATTAATCAATGGTTGTTTCATAGTCTGACACTGTAAAAGGTTTCTTGAGCTAAAACATGAGGAGTTTCCTTCTTTCTAAAACATAATACAGTATACTTTTTGTCATACTGTTGCAAAACCAGCAAATTATAGCTTATTGTTTCACTCCTGTTAATAGTTCAACATATCAACAGTATAATGTACAATAACATAATATAGGTCGGCCGCTTAGAAAACAACCTGCGCAAAATTTTTAGGTAACGGCGAGGGAGGGTATGTTTCCCCTCTCCGCCAATGTCCGTTTTCACACTGCACGACATGACACCGCGGTAGGACACCGACACGGTGCTGCCCCGGTGTTGTGGGAGTTGGAATCATTTGTTACCAAATGGGACTGTTTAGACAATGATATAATAACATTTCATGATGCTCAAATATTGATGCAATTTAGGCTATACAATATTTTTTGCAGGACCAATCTTTCTCAAGTTATAAAGAACGTAATTGTTTACATTTTGATCAGTTGGATAATTTAATAGCTGATAATATTTATAAAAGGTTGGGGGTGGAGCGGCAGCATATTGGGGGAAGGGCCATAGTCTGTCTCACTCCCATAGCTCGGTATCTCTCTTTCCCACCAATGCTATGAGGAGGACGCTTTCCAAGCGGCCAACCTATAGTAATACTGTAGACTGAATTATTGAACCACTTATTAAAAAAGCTGCTCATTTGCTTTAGAAAAATTGAAAACCTTTTTGAAGTTGTTTTGAAAATAAAGTTCATCACAATGGCAAAGTTGTCTTTTCAACCCCTGCTCATTTTCCAACCTCGGGCCATGCCTTTTCATATACTTAGCAGCAATGAATTTAACAATAGTTTTTTCAGTGAAACATACATACGTAATACCGGTAACTACTTTTGTAATCGAATGAAAACATTGGTTTAATTATTTGAAAGTAAATATTTAAATACTTTGTTGCAGATAGCTCACTGTTGTTACCTACCTTGACCTGGACGAGTTGTGAACCGTAAATAAAGATCAACTGTAACACTAAGGGGATTCAACAATCGATAGTGTGAAGGAAGCAGCAATCTGGATTCCCCTTTTTGCAGGTTTTTGGTTACTGTCGTACTAGTATTACATTTATTTATATTGGGTATGTCTTTGGCAATCACCCTTAAGATTGATTCTTAGAAACACAGAAGAAATACCGGTCAATTATAACTGGTTGTTTGACATAATGGCTAAAAAGAATTGCAATAGCAGTTATCAAAGTTGAAAACACATATAGTGGTGATATGAACTACGAAGAAATCAAGGGGTACTTTGGCCTGGAAAGGTTATGAAATACGACAAGTAGTCAACAATTCCTTATTTACCCTGGAACGGACCGATACACGGGACTGTGATTTATGCAGTTCTATGATTCTGCAGTTTGCAAGTTTTCTGGGTCCTGTCCTATCAAACATTATGTGGATTTGTTACGAGGGGAACCGATGACTTGTAATCTTGCAGACTCCTAGCACTATATTTATTGCAGACTCTAAAATCAGTTCATCTCAGAGTTCAGAAGGTATCGTACACCTCTTGTTGTTCCTTCATAACTCTTCTGAGTCAAATTTTCAGGTGATGAATCAGCAGCAAACACAAGTTCCAAGTATTAGTATTTTATATTACTACTCTTATTACATATGAAACTCTAGTCAATAGATAATCACAATCAATGTGAAATATATCATAGAGTAAGGGAAAGATTTGAACTTCAAAGTATGCAATTGATCATCTTTTGCTATGTATATGTTTATAGATCGCAAAACAAAAACATAGAAAAATATGATGGTTTTACAGGAAAGAATTCAAGGTGTACTTTGGTCTGGAAAGGTTATGAAATACAACAAGTAGTCAACAATTCCTTATTTACCCTGGAACGAACCGACACTTGGGACTGTGATTTATATAGTTCTATGATTCTGCAGTTTGCAAGTTTTCTGGGTCCTGTCCTATCAAACTTTAACGTGCATGCTTGTGGATTTGTTACGAGGGGAACCGATTACCTGTAATCCTGTGGACTCATAGCACTACATTTATTTCAGACTCTAAAATCAGTTCATCCCAGAGTTCAGAAGGTCTTGTGCACCGTGTGTTTGTGTCCTGTATTATTGTCCATATTTATTTATTGCATGTTATTGCCTGTTATTTTTTGCATGTATATATTGCCTGTTTTTTTTTTTGCATGTATATATTGCTTGCCGTATTTATAGCTTGCATTTATAGCCTTGTCTACCCTGGAACAGACCGATACACGGGACTGTTATTTATGCAGTTCTATGATTCTGCAGTTTGCAAGTTTTCTGGGTCCTGTCCTATCAAACTTTAACGTGCATGCTTGTGGATTTGTTACGAGGGGAACCGATGACCTGTAATCTTGTGGACTCGTAGCACTACATTTATTTCAGACTCTAAAGTCAGTCCATCCCAGAGTTCAGAAGGTCTTGAGCACCGTGTGTTTGTGTCCTGTATTATTGTCTGTATTTATTTATTGCATGTTATTGCCTATTTTTTTTTGCATGTACATATTGCTTGCCTGTAGCTTGCCGTATTTATAGATTGCATTTATAGCCTTGTCTACCCTGGAACAGACCGATACACGGGACTGTTATTTATGCAGTTCTATGATTCTGCAGTTTGCAAGTTTTCTGGGTCCTGTCCTATCAAACTTTAACGTGCATGCTTGTGGATTTGTTACGAGGGGAACCGATGACCTGTAATCTTGTGGACTCGTAGCACTACATTTATTTCAGACTCTAAAGTCAGTTCATCCCAGAGTACAGAAGGTCTTGAGCACCGTGTGTTTGTGTCCTGTATTATTGTCTGTATTTATTTATTGCATGTTATTGCCTATTTTTTTTTGCATGTACATATTGCTTGCCTGTAGCTTGCCGTATTTATAGCTTGCATTTATAGCCTTGTCTACCCTGGAACGGACCGACACACGGGACTGTTATTTATGCAGTTCTATGATTCTGCAGTTTGCAAGTTTTCTGGGTCCTGTCCTATCAAACTTTAACGTGCATGCTTGTGGATTTGTTACGAGGGGAACCGATGACCTGTAATCTTGTGGACTCGTAGCACTACATTTATTTCAGACTCTAAAGTCAGTTCATCCCAGAGTACAGAAGGTCTTGAGCACCGTGTGTTTGTGTCCTGTATTATTGTCTGTATTTATTTATTGCATGTTATTGCCTATTTTTTTTTGCATGTACATATTGCTTGCCTGTAGCTTGCCGTATTTATAGCTTGCATTTATAGCCTTGTCTACCCTGGAACGGACCGACACACGGGACTGTTATTTATGCAGTTCTATGATTCTGCAATTTGCAAGTTTTCTGGGTCCTGTCCTATCAAACTTTAACGTGCATGCTTGTGGATTTGTTACGAGGGGAACCGATGACCTGTAATCTTGTGGACTCGTAGCACTACATTTATTTCAGACTCTAAAGTCAGTTCATCACAGAGTTCAGAAGGTCTTGAGCACCGTGTGTTTGTGTCCATTTATTGCATGTATATATTGCTTGTTATTTTTTGCATGTATATATTGCCTGTTTTTTTTTTGCATGTATATATTGCTTGCCTGTAGCTTGCCGTATTTATAGCTTGCATTTATAGCCTTGTCTACCCTGGAACGGACCGATACACGGGACTGTTATTTATGCAGTTCTATGATTCTGCAGTTTGCAAGTTTTCTGGGTCCTGTCCTATCAAACTTTAACGTGCATGCTTGTGGATTTGTTACGAGGGGAACCGATGACCTGTAATCTTGCAGACTCCTAGCACTACATTTATTTCAGACTCTAAAATCAGTTCATCTCAGAGTTCAGAAGGTATCGTACACCTCTTGTTGTTCCTTCATAACTCTTCTCAGCCAAATTTTCAGGTGATGAATCTCTAGCAAACACAAGTTCCAAGTATTACCATTTTATATTACTGCTCTATTACATATGGAAATAGTCTGGAAAAAATCACAAACAATGCGTGAAATCATAGTGAAAGAAAAATGTTGGAACTCATATCTTCTGAGCCAAATTTTTAGTAGAGAAATCTACAGCAAACACTAGTAGAGTAGAGACAAAAATGTATCCAAACAAAACTAAGTACAGTATGAATAAAGGAACAAAATAATTACTCTTATAGGTTCTAGTGTAATTAATATAACTCTTGTCCTCTTCTAAATCTTGTCTTTTTAGACTTTGTTTTAGATTTTCAAATTGTATTGAGCGACTTATCTATCAATGGAAATTCGTATAGTTCTTTCTGATATCTTGGAACTTTCTACACGAAGATCACATAAGCTCCACCTCTTGCAATAAGTGCTAAGGTAATTTTGTTTGATTTTTTAAATAATTAAATAAAATATAATATCAATGTTTAGTTATGATGAACAAATAAGCAATATTATAGTAATTTTTTACAAAATTGTCTTCAATATTGCAAAAATGTTTTTATACTTTTTTTCAACAACAAGAGAAAGGACACTCTAGACTTGTTTGGTTTGATATCAAAGAATTTATTTATTTATTTATATGTACATACCAACGGCAGAGCCATTTGAATTAAAGTAATAGCATTAATAGTAGTATAATTATTTAATAGTAAGTATGTTGTACGTCTAACATTTTGACATTCCTTGTTGCAGTCATATCACTGAGGTGACAGTCAATCGTAGCAAAAGTTTATTGAGGGAAGTAACGCAACTGTAGCCTGCACTACGTCAACCTCCTCCAACACTTAAGTCGCAGGTGAATATCCTATGTTTGATAACCTAATAGAAACAAATTAATCAATGGTTGTTTCATAGTCTGACACTGTAAAAGGTTTCTTGAGCTAAAACATGAGGAGTTTCCTTCTTTCTAAAACATAATACAGTATACTTTTTGTCATACTGTTGCAAAACCAGCAAATTATAGCTTATTGTTTCACTCCTGTTAATAGTTCAACATATCAACAGTATAATGTACAATAACATAATATAGGTCGGCCGCTTAGAAAACAACCTGCGCAAAATTTTTAGGTAACGGCGAGGGAGGGTATGTTTCCCCTCTCCGCCAATGTCCGTTTTCACACTGCACGACATGACACCGCGGTAGGACACCGACACGGTGCTGCCCCGGTGTTGTGGGAGTTGGAATCATTTGTTACCAAATGGGACTGTTTAGACAATGATATAATAACATTTCATGATGCTCAAATATTGATGCAATTTAGGCTATACAATATTTTTTGCAGGACCAATCTTTCTCAAGTTATAAAGAACGTAATTGTTTACATTTTGATCAGTTGGATAATTTAATAGCTGATAATATTTATAAAAGGTTGGGGGTGGAGCGGCAGCATATTGGGGGAAGGGCCATAGTCTGTCTCACTCCCATAGCTCGGTATCTCTCTTTCCCACCAATGCTATGAGGAGGACGCTTTCCAAGCGGCCAACCTATAGTAATACTGTAGACTGAATTATTGAACCACTTATTAAAAAAGCTGCTCATTTGCTTTAGAAAAATTGAAAACCTTTTTGAAGTTGTTTTGAAAATAAAGTTCATCACAATGGCAAAGTTGTCTTTTCAACCCCTGCTCATTTTCCAACCTCGGGCCATGCCTTTTCATATACTTAGCAGCAATGAATTTAACAATAGTTTTTTCAGTGAAACATACATACGTAATACCGGTAACTACTTTTGTAATCGAATGAAAACATTGGTTTAATTATTTGAAAGTAAATATTTAAATACTTTGTTGCAGATAGCTCACTGTTGTTACCTACCTTGACCTGGACGAGTTGTGAACCGTAAATAAAGATCAACTGTAACACTAAGGGGATTCAACAATCGATAGTGTGAAGGAAGCAGCAATCTGGATTCCCCTTTTTGCAGGTTTTTGGTTACTGTCGTACTAGTATTACATTTATTTATATTGGGTATGTCTTTGGCAATCACCCTTAAGATTGATTCTTAGAAACACAGAAGAAATACCGGTCAATTATAACTGGTTGTTTGACATAATGGCTAAAAAGAATTGCAATAGCAGTTATCAAAGTTGAAAACACATATAGTGGTGATATGAACTACGAAGAAATCAAGGGGTACTTTGGCCTGGAAAGGTTATGAAATACGACAAGTAGTCAACAATTCCTTATTTACCCTGGAACGGACCGATACACGGGACTGTGATTTATGCAGTTCTATGATTCTGCAGTTTGCAAGTTTTCTGGGTCCTGTCCTATCAAACATTATGTGGATTTGTTACGAGGGGAACCGATGACTTGTAATCTTGCAGACTCCTAGCACTATATTTATTGCAGACTCTAAAATCAGTTCATCTCAGAGTTCAGAAGGTATCGTACACCTCTTGTTGTTCCTTCATAACTCTTCTGAGTCAAATTTTCAGGTGATGAATCAGCAGCAAACACAAGTTCCAAGTATTAGTATTTTATATTACTACTCTTATTACATATGAAACTCTAGTCAATAGATAATCACAATCAATGTGAAATATATCATAGAGTAAGGGAAAGATTTGAACTTCAAAGTATGCAATTGATCATCTTTTGCTATGTATATGTTTATAGATCGCAAAACAAAAACATAGAAAAATATGATGGTTTTACAGGAAAGAATTCAAGGTGTACTTTGGTCTGGAAAGGTTATGAAATACAACAAGTAGTCAACAATTCCTTATTTACCCTGGAACGAACCGACACTTGGGACTGTGATTTATATAGTTCTATGATTCTGCAGTTTGCAAGTTTTCTGGGTCCTGTCCTATCAAACTTTAACGTGCATGCTTGTGGATTTGTTACGAGGGGAACCGATTACCTGTAATCCTGTGGACTCATAGCACTACATTTATTTCAGACTCTAAAATCAGTTCATCCCAGAGTTCAGAAGGTCTTGTGCACCGTGTGTTTGTGTCCTGTATTATTGTCCATATTTATTTATTGCATGTTATTGCCTGTTATTTTTTGCATGTATATATTGCCTGTTTTTTTTTTGCATGTATATATTGCTTGCCGTATTTATAGCTTGCATTTATAGCCTTGTCTACCCTGGAACAGACCGATACACGGGACTGTTATTTATACAGTTCTATGATTCTGCAGTTTGCAAGTTTTCTGGGTCCTGTCCTATCAAACTTTAACGTGCATGCTTGTGGATTTGTTACGAGGGGAACCGATGACCTGTAATCTTGTGGACTCGTAGCACTACATTTATTTCAGACTCTAAAGTCAGTTCATCCCAGAGTTCAGAAGGTCTTGAGCACCGTGTGTTTGTGTCCTGTATTATTGTCTGTATTTATTTATTGCATGTTATTGCCTATTTTTTTGTTGCATGTACATATTGCTTGCCTGTAGCTTGCCGTATTTATAGATTGCATTTATAGCCTTGTCTACCCTGGAACAGACCGATACACGGGACTGTTATTTATGCAGTTCTATGATTCTGCAGTTTGCAAGTTTTCTGGGTCCTGTCCTATCAAACTTTAACGTGCATGCTTGTGGATTTGTTACGAGGGGAACCGATGACCTGTAATCTTGTGGACTCGTAGCACTACATTTATTTCAGACTCTAAAGTCAGTTCATCCCAGAGTACAGAAGGTCTTGAGCACCGTGTGTTTGTGTCCTGTATTATTGTCTGTATTTATTTATTGCATGTTATTGCCTATTATTTTTTGCATGTACATATTGCTTGCCTGTAGCTTGCCGTATTTATAGCTTGCATTTATAGCCTTGTCTACCCTGGAACGGACCGACACACGGGACTGTTATTTATGCAGTTCTATGATTCTGCAGTTTGCAAGTTTTCTGGGTCCTGTCCTATCAAACTTTAACGTGCATGCTTGTGGATTTGTTACGAGGGGAACCGATGACCTGTAATCTTGTGGACTCGTAGCACTACATTTATTTCAGACTCTAAAGTCAGTTCATCCCAGAGTACAGAAGGTCTTGAGCACCGTGTGTTTGTGTCCTGTATTATTGTCTGTATTTATTTATTGCATGTTATTGCCTATTTTTTTTTGCATGTACATATTGCTTGCCTGTAGCTTGCCGTATTTATAGCTTGCATTTATAGCCTTGTCTACCCTGGAACGGACCGACACACGGGACTGTTATTTATGCAGTTCTATGATTCTGCAGTTTGCAAGTTTTCTGGGTCCTGTCCTATCAAACTTTAACGTGCATGCTTGTGGATTTGTTACGAGGGGAACCGATGACCTGTAATCTTGTGGACTCGTAGCACTACATTTATTTCAGACTCTAAAGTCAGTTCATCTCAGAGTTCAGAAGGTCTTGAGCACCGTGTGTTTGTGTCCATTTATTGCATGTATATATTGCTTGTTATTTTTTGCATGTATATATTGCCTGTTTTTTTTTGCATGTATATATTGCTTGCCTGTAGCTTGCCGTATTTATAGCTTGCATTTATAGCCTTGTCTACCCTGGAACGGACCGATACACGGGACTGTTATTTATGCAGTTCTATGATTCTGCAGTTTGCAAGTTTTCTGGGTCCTGTCCTATCAAACTTTAACGTGCATGCTTGTGGATTTGTTACGAGGGGAACCGATGACCTGTAATCTTGCAGACTCCTAGCACTACATTTATTTCAGACTCTAAAATCAGTTCATCTCAGAGTTCAGAAGGTATCGTACACCTCTTGTTGTTCCTTCATAACTCTTCTCAGCCAAATTTTCAGGTGATGAATCTCTAGCAAACACAAGTTCCAAGTATTACCATTTTATATTACTGCTCTATTACATATGGAAATAGTCTGGAAAAAATCACAAACAATGCGTGAAATCATAGTGAAAGAAAAATGTTGGAACTCATATCTTCTGAGCCAAATTTTTAGTAGAGAAATCTACAGCAAACACTAGTAGAGTAGAGACAAAAATGTATCCAAACAAAACTAAGTACAGTATGAATAAAGGAACAAAATAATTACTCTTATAGGTTCTAGTGTAATTAATATAACTCTTGTCCTCTTCTAAATCTTGTCTTTTTAGACTTTGTTTTAGATTTTCAAATTGTATTGAGCGACTTATCTATCAATGGAAATTCGTATAGTTCTTTCTGATATCTTGGAACTTTCTACACGAAGATCACATAAGCTCCACCTCTTGCAATAAGTGCTAAGGTAATTTTGTTTGATTTTTTAAATAATTAAATAAAATATAATATCAATGTTTAGTTATGATGAACAAATAAGCAATATTATAGTAATTTTTTACAAAATTGTCTTCAATATTGCAAAAATGTTTTTATACTTTTTTTCAACAACAAGAGAAAGGACACTCTAGACTTGTTTGGTTTGATATCAAAGAATTTATTTATTTATTTATATGTACATACCAACGGCAGAGCCATTTGAATTAAAGTAATAGCATTAATAGTAGTATAATTATTTAATAGTAAGTATGTTGTACGTCTAACATTTTGACATTCCTTGTTGCAGTCATATCACTGAGGTGACAGTCAATCGTAGCAAAAGTTTATTGAGGGAAGTAACGCAACTGTAGCCTGCACTACGTCAACCTCCTCCAACACTTAAGTCGCAGGTGAATATCCTATGTTTGATAACCTAATAGAAACAAATTAATCAATGGTTGTTTCATAGTCTGACACTGTAAAAGGTTTCTTGAGCTAAAACATGAGGAGTTTCCTTCTTTCTAAAACATAATACAGTATACTTTTTGTCATACTGTTGCAAAACCAGCAAATTATAGCTTATTGTTTCACTCCTGTTAATAGTTCAACATATCAACAGTATAATGTACAATAACATAATATAGGTCGGCCGCTTAGAAAACAACCTGCGCAAAATTTTTAGGTAACGGCGAGGGAGGGTATGTTTCCCCTCTCCGCCAATGTCCGTTTTCACACTGCACGACATGACACCGCGGTAGGACACCGACACGGTGCTGCCCCGGTGTTGTGGGAGTTGGAATCATTTGTTACCAAATGGGACTGTTTAGACAATGATATAATAACATTTCATGATGCTCAAATATTGATGCAATTTAGGCTATACAATATTTTTTGCAGGACCAATCTTTCTCAAGTTATAAAGAACGTAATTGTTTACATTTTGATCAGTTGGATAATTTAATAGCTGATAATATTTATAAAAGGTTGGGGGTGGAGCGGCAGCATATTGGGGGAAGGGCCATAGTCTGTCTCACTCCCATAGCTCGGTATCTCTCTTTCCCACCAATGCTATGAGGAGGACGCTTTCCAAGCGGCCAACCTATAGTAATACTGTAGACTGAATTATTGAACCACTTATTAAAAAAGCTGCTCATTTGCTTTAGAAAAATTGAAAACCTTTTTGAAGTTGTTTTGAAAATAAAGTTCATCACAATGGCAAAGTTGTCTTTTCAACCCCTGCTCATTTTCCAACCTCGGGCCATGCCTTTTCATATACTTAGCAGCAATGAATTTAACAATAGTTTTTTCAGTGAAACATACATACGTAATACCGGTAACTACTTTTGTAATCGAATGAAAACATTGGTTTAATTATTTGAAAGTAAATATTTAAATACTTTGTTGCAGATAGCTCACTGTTGTTACCTACCTTGACCTGGACGAGTTGTGAACCGTAAATAAAGATCAACTGTAACACTAAGGGGATTCAACAATCGATAGTGTGAAGGAAGCAGCAATCTGGATTCCCCTTTTTGCAGGTTTTTGGTTACTGTCGTACTAGTATTACATTTATTTATATTGGGTATGTCTTTGGCAATCACCCTTAAGATTGATTCTTAGAAACACAGAAGAAATACCGGTCAATTATAACTGGTTGTTTGACATAATGGCTAAAAAGAATTGCAATAGCAGTTATCAAAGTTGAAAACACATATAGTGGTGATATGAACTACGAAGAAATCAAGGGGTACTTTGGCCTGGAAAGGTTATGAAATACGACAAGTAGTCAACAATTCCTTATTTACCCTGGAACGGACCGATACACGGGACTGTGATTTATGCAGTTCTATGATTCTGCAGTTTGCAAGTTTTCTGGGTCCTGTCCTATCAAACATTATGTGGATTTGTTACGAGGGGAACCGATGACTTGTAATCTTGCAGACTCCTAGCACTATATTTATTGCAGACTCTAAAATCAGTTCATCTCAGAGTTCAGAAGGTATCGTACACCTCTTGTTGTTCCTTCATAACTCTTCTGAGTCAAATTTTCAGGTGATGAATCAGCAGCAAACACAAGTTCCAAGTATTAGTATTTTATATTACTACTCTTATTACATATGAAACTCTAGTCAATAGATAATCACAATCAATGTGAAATATATCATAGAGTAAGGGAAAGATTTGAACTTCAAAGTATGCAATTGATCATCTTTTGCTATGTATATGTTTATAGATCGCAAAACAAAAACATAGAAAAATATGATGGTTTTACAGGAAAGAATTCAAGGTGTACTTTGGTCTAGAAAGGTTATGAAATACAACAAGTAGTCAACAATTCCTTATTTACCCTGGAACGAACCGACACTTGGGACTGTGATTTATATAGTTCTATGATTCTGCAGTTTGCAAGTTTTCTGGGTCCTGTCCTATCAAACTTTAACGTGCATGCTTGTGGATTTGTTACGAGGGGAACCGATGACCTGTAATCTTGTGGACTCGTAGCACTACATTTATTTCAGACTCTAAAGTCAGTTCATCTCAGAGTTCAGAAGGTCTTGAGCACCGTGTGTTTGTGTCCATTTATTGCATGTATATATTGCTTGTTATTTTTTGCATGTATATATTGCCTGTTTTTTTTTGCATGTATATATTGCTTGCCTGTAGCTTGCCGTATTTATAGCTTGCATTTATAGCCTTGTCTACCCTGGAACGGACCGATACACGGGACTGTTATTTATGCAGTTCTATGATTCTGCAGTTTGCAAGTTTTCTGGGTCCTGTCCTATCAAACTTTAACGTGCATGCTTGTGGATTTGTTACGAGGGGAACCGATTACCTGTAATCCTGTGGACTCATAGCACTACATTTATTTCAGACTCTAAAATCAGTTCATCCCAGAGTTCAGAAGGTCTTGTGCACCGTGTGTTTGTGTCCTGTATTATTGTCCATATTTATTTATTGCATGTTATTGCCTGTTATTTTTTGCATGTATATATTGCCTGTTTTTTTTTTGCATGTATATATTGCTTGCCGTATTTATAGCTTGCATTTATAGCCTTGTCTACCCTGGAACAGACCGATACACGGGACTGTTATTTATACAGTTCTATGATTCTGCAGTTTGCAAGTTTTCTGGGTCCTGTCCTATCAAACTTTAACGTGCATGCTTGTGGATTTGTTACGAGGGGAACCGATGACCTGTAATCTTGTGGACTCGTAGCACTACATTTATTTCAGACTCTAAAGTCAGTTCATCCCAGAGTTCAGAAGGTCTTGAGCACCGTGTGTTTGTGTCCTGTATTATTGTCTGTATTTATTTATTGCATGTTATTGCCTATTTTTTTTTGCATGTACATATTGCTTGCCTGTAGCTTGCCGTATTTATAGATTGCATTTATAGCCTTGTCTACCCTGGAACAGACCGATACACGGGACTGTTATTTATGCAGTTCTATGATTCTGCAGTTTGCAAGTTTTCTGGGTCCTGTCCTATCAAACTTTAACGTGCATGCTTGTGGATTTGTTACGAGGGGAACCGATGACCTGTAATCTTGTGGACTCGTAGCACTACATTTATTTCAGACTCTAAAGTCAGTTCATCCCAGAGTACAGAAGGTCTTGAGCACCGTGTGTTTGTGTCCTGTATTATTGTCTGTATTTATTTATTGCATGTTATTGCCTATTTTTTTTTGCATGTACATATTGCTTGCCTGTAGCTTGCCGTATTTATAGCTTGCATTTATAGCCTTGTCTACCCTGGAACGGACCGACACACGGGACTGTTATTTATGCAGTTCTATGATTCTGCAGTTTGCAAGTTTTCTGGGTCCTGTCCTATCAAACTTTAACGTGCATGCTTGTGGATTTGTTACGAGGGGAACCGATGACCTGTAATCTTGTGGACTCGTAGCACTACATTTATTTCAGACTCTAAAGTCAGTTCATCCCAGAGTACAGAAGGTCTTGAGCACCGTGTGTTTGTGTCCTGTATTATTGTCTGTATTTATTTATTGCATGTTATTGCCTATTTTTTTTTGCATGTACATATTGCTTGCCTGTAGCTTGCCGTATTTATAGCTTGCATTTATAGCCTTGTCTACCCTGGAACGGACCGACACACGGGACTGTTATTTATGCAGTTCTATGATTCTGCAGTTTGCAAGTTTTCTGGGTCCTGTCCTATCAAACTTTAAAGTGCATGCTTGTGGATTTGTTACGAGGGGAACCGATGACCTGTAATCTTGTGGACTCGTAGCACTACATTTATTTCAGACTCTAAAGTCAGTTCATCTCAGAGTTCAGAAGGTCTTGAGCACCGTGTGTTTGTGTCCATTTATTGCATGTATATATTGCTTGTTATTTTTTGCATGTATATATTGCCTGTTTTTTTTTGCATGTATATATTGCTTGCCTGTAGCTTGCCGTATTTATAGCTTGCATTTATAGCCTTGTCTACCCTGGAACGGACCAATACACGGGACTGTTATTTATGCAGTTCTATGATTCTGCAGTTTGCAAGTTTTCTGGGTCCTGTCCTATCAAACTTTAACGTGCATGCTTGTGGATTTGTTACGAGGGGAACCGATGACCTGTAATCTTGCAGACTCCTAGCACTACATTTATTTCAGACTCTAAAATCAGTTCATCTCAGAGTTCAGAAGGTATCGTACACCTCTTGTTGTTCCTTCATAACTCTTCTCAGCCAAATTTTCAGGTGATGAATCTCTAGCAAACACAAGTTCCAAGTATTACCATTTTATATTACTGCTCTATTACATATGGAAATAGTCTGGAAAAAATCACAAACAATGCGTGAAATCATAGTGAAAGAAAAATGTTGGAACTCATATCTTCTGAGCCAAATTTTTAGTAGAGAAATCTACAGCAAACACTAGTAGAGTAGAGACAAAAATGTATCCAAACAAAACTAAGTACAGTATGAATAAAGGAACAAAATAATTACTCTTATAGGTTCTAGTGTAATTAATATAACTCTTGTCCTCTTCTAAATCTTGTCTTTTTAGACTTTGTTTTAGATTTTCAAATTGTATTGAGCGACTTATCTATCAATGGAAATTCGTATAGTTCTTTCTGATATCTTGGAACTTTCTACACGAAGATCACATAAGCTCCACCTCTTGCAATAAGTGCTAAGGTAATTTTGTTTGATTTTTTAAATAATTAAATAAAATATAATATCAATGTTTAGTTATGATGAACAAATAAGCAATATTATAGTAATTTTTTACAAAATTGTCTTCAATATTGCAAAAATGTTTTTATACTTTTTTTCAACAACAAGAGAAAGGACACTCTAGACTTGTTTGGTTTGATATCAAAGAATTTATTTATTTATTTATATGTACATACCAACGGCAGAGCCATTTGAATTAAAGTAATAGCATTAATAGTAGTATAATTATTTAATAGTAAGTATGTTGTACGTCTAACATTTTGACATTCCTTGTTGCAGTCATATCACTGAGGTGACAGTCAATCGTAGCAAAAGTTTATTGAGGGAAGTAACGCAACTGTAGCCTGCACTACGTCAACCTCCTCCAACACTTAAGTCGCAGGTGAATATCCTATGTTTGATAACCTAATAGAAACAAATTAATCAATGGTTGTTTCATAGTCTGACACTGTAAAAGGTTTCTTGAGCTAAAACATGAGGAGTTTCCTTCTTTCTAAAACATAATACAGTATACTTTTTGTCATACTGTTGCAAAACCAGCAAATTATAGCTTATTGTTTCACTCCTGTTAATAGTTCAACATATCAACAGTATAATGTACAATAACATAATATAGGTCGGCCGCTTAGAAAACAACCTGCGCAAAATTTTTAGGTAACGGCGAGGGAGGGTATGTTTCCCCTCTCCGCCAATGTCCGTTTTCACACTGCACGACATGACACCGCGGTAGGACACCGACACGGTGCTGCCCCGGTGTTGTGGGAGTTGGAATCATTTGTTACCAAATGGGACTGTTTAGACAATGATATAATAACATTTCATGATGCTCAAATATTGATGCAATTTAGGCTATACAATATTTTTTGCAGGACCAATCTTTCTCAAGTTATAAAGAACGTAATTGTTTACATTTTGATCAGTTGGATAATTTAATAGCTGATAATATTTATAAAAGGTTGGGGGTGGAGCGGCAGCATATTGGGGGAAGGGCCATAGTCTGTCTCACTCCCATAGCTCGGTATCTCTCTTTCCCACCAATGCTATGAGGAGGACGCTTTCCAAGCGGCCAACCTATAGTAATACTGTAGACTGAATTATTGAACCACTTATTAAAAAAGCTGCTCATTTGCTTTAGAAAAATTGAAAACCTTTTTGAAGTTGTTTTGAAAATAAAGTTCATCACAATGGCAAAGTTGTCTTTTCAACCCCTGCTCATTTTCCAACCTCGGGCCATGCCTTTTCATATACTTAGCAGCAATGAATTTAACAATAGTTTTTTCAGTGAAACATACATACGTAATACCGGTAACTACTTTTGTAATCGAATGAAAACATTGGTTTAATTATTTGAAAGTAAATATTTAAATACTTTGTTGCAGATAGCTCACTGTTGTTACCTACCTTGACCTGGACGAGTTGTGAACCGTAAATAAAGATCAACTGTAACACTAAGGGGATTCAACAATCGATAGTGTGAAGGAAGCAGCAATCTGGATTCCCCTTTTTGCAGGTTTTTGGTTACTGTCGTACTAGTATTACATTTATTTATATTGGGTATGTCTTTGGCAATCACCCTTAAGATTGATTCTTAGAAACACAGAAGAAATACCGGTCAATTATAACTGGTTGTTTGACATAATGGCTAAAAAGAATTGCAATAGCAGTTATCAAAGTTGAAAACACATATAGTGGTGATATGAACTACGAAGAAATCAAGGGGTACTTTGGCCTGGAAAGGTTATGAAATACGACAAGTAGTCAACAATTCCTTATTTACCCTGGAACGGACCGATACACGGGACTGTGATTTATGCAGTTCTATGATTCTGCAGTTTGCAAGTTTTCTGGGTCCTGTCCTATCAAACATTATGTGGATTTGTTACGAGGGGAACCGATGACTTGTAATCTTGCAGACTCCTAGCACTATATTTATTGCAGACTCTAAAATCAGTTCATCTCAGAGTTCAGAAGGTATCGTACACCTCTTGTTGTTCCTTCATAACTCTTCTGAGTCAAATTTTCAGGTGATGAATCAGCAGCAAACACAAGTTCCAAGTATTAGTATTTTATATTACTACTCTTATTACATATGAAACTCTAGTCAATAGATAATCACAATCAATGTGAAATATATCATAGAGTAAGGGAAAGATTTGAACTTCAAAGTATGCAATTGATCATCTTTTGCTATGTATATGTTTATAGATCGCAAAACAAAAACATAGAAAAATATGATGGTTTTACAGGAAAGAATTCAAGGTGTACTTTGGTCTAGAAAGGTTATGAAATACAACAAGTAGTCAACAATTCCTTATTTACCCTGGAACGAACCGACACTTGGGACTGTGATTTATATAGTTCTATGATTCTGCAGTTTGCAAGTTTTCTGGGTCCTGTCCTATCAAACTTTAACGTGCATGCTTGTGGATTTGTTACGAGGGGAACCGATTACCTGTAATCCTGTGGACTCATAGCACTACATTTATTTCAGACTCTAAAATCAGTTCATCCCAGAGTTCAGAAGGTCTTGTGCACCGTGTGTTTGTGTCCTGTATTATTGTCCATATTTATTTATTGCATGTTATTGCCTGTTATTTTTTGCATGTATATATTGCCTGTTTTTTTTTTGCATGTATATATTGCTTGCCGTATTTATAGCTTGCATTTATAGCCTTGTCTACCCTGGAACAGACCGATACACGGGACTGTTATTTATACAGTTCTATGATTCTGCAGTTTGCAAGTTTTCTGGGTCCTGTCCTATCAAACTTTAACGTGCATGCTTGTGGATTTGTTACGAGGGGAACCGATGACCTGTAATCTTGTGGACTCGTAGCACTACATTTATTTCAGACTCTAAAGTCAGTTCATCCCAGAGTTCAGAAGGTCTTGAGCACCGTGTGTTTGTGTCCTGTATTATTGTCTGTATTTATTTATTGCATGTTATTGCCTATTTTTTTTTGCATGTACATATTGCTTGCCTGTAGCTTGCCGTATTTATAGATTGCATTTATAGCCTTGTCTACCCTGGAACAGACCGATACACGGGACTGTTATTTATGCAGTTCTATGATTCTGCAGTTTGCAAGTTTTCTGGGTCCTGTCCTATCAAACTTTAACGTGCATGCTTGTGGATTTGTTACGAGGGGAACCGATGACCTGTAATCTTGTGGACTCGTAGCACTACATTTATTTCAGACTCTAAAGTCAGTTCATCCCAGAGTACAGAAGGTCTTGAGCACCGTGTGTTTGTGTCCTGTATTATTGTCTGTATTTATTTATTGCATGTTATTGCCTATTTTTTTTTGCATGTACATATTGCTTGCCTGTAGCTTGCCGTATTTATAGCTTGCATTTATAGCCTTGTCTACCCTGGAACGGACCGACACACGGGACTGTTATTTATGCAGTTCTATGATTCTGCAGTTTGCAAGTTTTCTGGGTCCTGTCCTATCAAACTTTAACGTGCATGCTTGTGGATTTGTTACGAGGGGAACCGATGACCTGTAATCTTGTGGACTCGTAGCACTACATTTATTTCAGACTCTAAAGTCAGTTCATCCCAGAGTACAGAAGGTCTTGAGCACCGTGTGTTTGTGTCCTGTATTATTGTCTGTATTTATTTATTGCATGTTATTGCCTATTTTTTTTTGCATGTACATATTGCTTGCCTGTAGCTTGCCGTATTTATAGCTTGCATTTATAGCCTTGTCTACCCTGGAACGGACCGACACACGGGACTGTTATTTATGCAGTTCTATGATTCTGCAGTTTGCAAGTTTTCTGGGTCCTGTCCTATCAAACTTTAAAGTGCATGCTTGTGGATTTGTTACGAGGGGAACCGATGACCTGTAATCTTGTGGACTCGTAGCACTACATTTATTTCAGACTCTAAAGTCAGTTCATCTCAGAGTTCAGAAGGTCTTGAGCACCGTGTGTTTGTGTCCATTTATTGCATGTATATATTGCTTGTTATTTTTTGCATGTATATATTGCCTGTTTTTTTTTGCATGTATATATTGCTTGCCTGTAGCTTGCCGTATTTATAGCTTGCATTTATAGCCTTGTCTACCCTGGAACGGACCGATACACGGGACTGTTATTTATGCAGTTCTATGATTCTGCAGTTTGCAAGTTTTCTGGGTCCTGTCCTATCAAACTTTAACGTGCATGCTTGTGGATTTGTTACGAGGGGAACCGATGACCTGTAATCTTGCAGACTCCTAGCACTACATTTATTTCAGACTCTAAAATCAGTTCATCTCAGAGTTCAGAAGGTATCGTACACCTCTTGTTGTTCCTTCATAACTCTTCTCAGCCAAATTTTCAGGTGATGAATCTCTAGCAAACACAAGTTCCAAGTATTACCATTTTATATTACTGCTCTATTACATATGGAAATAGTCTGGAAAAAATCACAAACAATGCGTGAAATCATAGTGAAAGAAAAATGTTGGAACTCATATCTTCTGAGCCAAATTTTTAGTAGAGAAATCTACAGCAAACACTAGTAGAGTAGAGACAAAAATGTATCCAAACAAAACTAAGTACAGTATGAATAAAGGAACAAAATAATTACTCTTATAGGTTCTAGTGTAATTAATATAACTCTTGTCCTCTTCTAAATCTTGTCTTTTTAGACTTTGTTTTAGATTTTCAAATTGTATTGAGCGACTTATCTATCAATGGAAATTCGTATAGTTCTTTCTGATATCTTGGAACTTTCTACACGAAGATCACATAAGCTCCACCTCTTGCAATAAGTGCTAAGGTAATTTTGTTTGATTTTTTAAATAATTAAATAAAATATAATATCAATGTTTAGTTATGATGAACAAATAAGCAATATTATAGTAATTTTTTACAAAATTGTCTTCAATATTGCAAAAATGTTTTTATACTTTTTTTCAACAACAAGAGAAAGGACACTCTAGACTTGTTTGGTTTGATATCAAAGAATTTATTTATTTATTTATATGTACATACCAACGGCAGAGCCATTTGAATTAAAGTAATAGCATTAATAGTAGTATAATTATTTAATAGTAAGTATGTTGTACGTCTAACATTTTGACATTCCTTGTTGCAGTCATATCACTGAGGTGACAGTCAATCGTAGCAAAAGTTTATTGAGGGAAGTAACGCAACTGTAGCCTGCACTACGTCAACCTCCTCCAACACTTAAGTCGCAGGTGAATATCCTATGTTTGATAACCTAATAGAAACAAATTAATCAATGGTTGTTTCATAGTCTGACACTGTAAAAGGTTTCTTGAGCTAAAACATGAGGAGTTTCCTTCTTTCTAAAACATAATACAGTATACTTTTTGTCATACTGTTGCAAAACCAGCAAATTATAGCTTATTGTTTCACTCCTGTTAATAGTTCAACATATCAACAGTATAATGTACAATAACATAATATAGGTCGGCCGCTTAGAAAACAACCTGCGCAAAATTTTTAGGTAACGGCGAGGGAGGGTATGTTTCCCCTCTCCGCCAATGTCCGTTTTCACACTGCACGACATGACACCGCGGTAGGACACCGACACGGTGCTGCCCCGGTGTTGTGGGAGTTGGAATCATTTGTTACCAAATGGGACTGTTTAGACAATGATATAATAACATTTCATGATGCTCAAATATTGATGCGATTTAGGCTATACAATATTTTTTGCAGGACCAATCTTTCTCAAGTTATAAAGAACGTAATTGTTTACATTTTGATCAGTTGGATAATTTAATAGCTGATAATATTTATAAAAGGTTGGGGGTGGAGCGGCAGCATATTGGGGGAAGGGCCATAGTCTGTCTCACTCCCATAGCTCGGTATCTCTCTTTCCCACCAATGCTATGAGGAGGACGCTTTCCAAGCGGCCAACCTATAGTAATACTGTAGACTGAATTATTGAACCACTTATTAAAAAAGCTGCTCATTTGCTTTAGAAAAATTGAAAACCTTTTTGAAGTTGTTTTGAAAATAAAGTTCATCACAATGGCAAAGTTGTCTTTTCAACCCCTGCTCATTTTCCAACCTCGGGCCATGCCTTTTCATATACTTAGCAGCAATGAATTTAACAATAGTTTTTTCAGTGAAACATACATACGTAATACCGGTAACTACTTTTGTAATCGAATGAAAACATTGGTTTAATTATTTGAAAGTAAATATTTAAATACTTTGTTGCAGATAGCTCACTGTTGTTACCTACCTTGACCTGGACGAGTTGTGAACCGTAAATAAAGATCAACTGTAACACTAAGGGGATTCAACAATCGATAGTGTGAAGGAAGCAGCAATCTGGATTCCCCTTTTTGCAGGTTTTTGGTTACTGTCGTACTAGTATTACATTTATTTATATTGGGTATGTCTTTGGCAATCACCCTTAAGATTGATTCTTAGAAACACAGAAGAAATACCGGTCAATTATAACTGGTTGTTTGACATAATGGCTAAAAAGAATTGCAATAGCAGTTATCAAAGTTGAAAACACATATAGTGGTGATATGAACTACGAAGAAATCAAGGGGTACTTTGGCCTGGAAAGGTTATGAAATACGACAAGTAGTCAACAATTCCTTATTTACCCTGGAACGGACCGATACACGGGACTGTGATTTATGCAGTTCTATGATTCTGCAGTTTGCAAGTTTTCTGGGTCCTGTCCTATCAAACATTATGTGGATTTGTTACGAGGGGAACCGATGACTTGTAATCTTGCAGACTCCTAGCACTATATTTATTGCAGACTCTAAAATCAGTTCATCTCAGAGTTCAGAAGGTATCGTACACCTCTTGTTGTTCCTTCATAACTCTTCTGAGTCAAATTTTCAGGTGATGAATCAGCAGCAAACACAGGTTCCAAGTATTAGTATTTTATATTACTACTCTTATTACATATGAAACTCTAGTCAATAGATAATCACAATCAATGTGAAATATATCATAGAGTAAGGGAAAGATTTGAACTTCAAAGTATGCAATTGATCATCTTTTGCTATGTATATGTTTATAGATCGCAAAACAAAAACATAGAAAAATATGATGGTTTTACAGGAAAGAATTCAAGGTGTACTTTGGTCTGGAAAGGTTATGAAATACAACAAGTAGTCATCAATTCCTTATTTACCCTGGAACGAACCGACACTTGGGACTGTGATTTATATAGTTCTATGATTCTGCAGTTCCAAGTGTTTACCATGATATATTATTACTCAATTACATATGAAAGAAACTATTGAAGAAAATATTACATATAAAGTTAAAACATTAAGGAACAGAATGGAAATTCATAGTATGCAACTGATCATATTTTACTACGGTACTTGTGTTTATACAAACACAGTGCCTCTCGTTGTTCCTCCATGACTCTTCTGAGCCAAATCTTTCAGGAGAGTAGCTTGCAGCAAACACTAGTTAAGTGTTAGACCAAATATTTATCAACAAAACTAGGCATGAATACAAAGTACAAAACATACATAGTACCGGTACAGGAACAAAAACAATTACTTGTAGGTTCTTTTTCAGTTGATATACCGGTACCTTGCCCTCTACTAAAAACTGTCTTTTTAGACTCTGTTTTAGATTTCACAATTGTAGTGAGCGACTAGTCTGACCAGGGGAATTTGTTGAATCTGCTTCCTGACATCTTAGAACTTACTATTCAAAGGCGATGTGAGCTCTGCCTCTTCTTATATATGCTAAGGTAATTTTGTCTGATTTCGGGGAATTTTCCATTATAGAAAATGAGCTATAACCTTACCCTAGGTGTCATGGTAAGACCATTACCCAGGACTGATTTAATTTTTTGGTTTGAGGTCCTCAGAGGCCAAAAACACCATTTGTTCAAATTTATCTATTTATATGTTCATTAGTGGGATAACTTAACCAAAAATGATAGGATACTTCTATAATTAGGTACAAAGAATTAAACATACCATTTAAACATGTTTATTCAAACAAGGTTGCAAACCAGTATGATCTGACTATGGGAACAGGAATTTATGGGCCGTTTTATGGGATTAAGATAGGTTATTCCCATTTTTACCCTAAAAATGAACAATTCAGCAATTTATTTCTAAATCATTTTATAGAGTTTAAAAAAAGTGCATTAGGCATTGTTTTACTCCTTACCCTTATGGAGAAAGTAAAAAAGTGTAAATTCAACATTTCCATGCTCATTGTTATGGAGAATAAAGTAAACTGCTGTAGTTTGCATGTTTATGGATATATTTTAATATAATTTGATTTGGCAAATTTTTGTATTTCATACTAAACTATCCACGATTCAATTAAAAACACACCTTCCCTGTAGCAGCAAAGCTAAGTGCTCATTAATAATGAGGTTATTTGAAAGGTCCGAATTTTTGAAATCTGGTAATTTTTAGTTAATATTTTAGTGGACATCTAGCTAGGTAAATGGAAATTGGCTTAGTCTACAGGTTTGCTGCGGTAGAGGTACTGTACTTTATTAATGATATTTAAAATTATTTGTATATTACAAATCAGTTATAAAGATAAACTAATAATCAACATTGTAGTATAAAAGTAAGTTTGGTGTTTGTCTAACCTCTTGAAGTGCATTTGTTGCAGGCATATCACTGTGGTGTCTGTCAATCAACGCAACTGTAGCCTTCACTACGTCCATCTCCTTCAGCACTTTGGTGCCAGGTGAGTAGCAAACGTTTGATACAGTATCCTAATAGAAACAAACAAATCAACAGCTGTTAGGTACATTGACACTGTAAAAGGTTTCTTAAGCTACATAATTAATAAGTCATCAGCTTAGGTTCTTGCCCACTTGCCCCATTGAGCTGATCTGTTTCTCAAACAAGGTTCAAAGACACCCTTGATTTAACCAACTTTACTTAAATAAAAATGTCTTTCTTTTCCGTTCAAAGCAAAGCTTTAAGTTTCCATAGTATTCAAAATGTTGTGAAAGAAGATTTACCACCATGGATGTCAATGAAAAAGGTTTTAGGTGAAAACCAAATTCCCCATTCTTAGTCACTATTCACTAAAACGCTCTCCACATTTAACTGCCTACAACATAAAACAGATTGCATCGTTCCACACAGGCGATTGAAAGCAAGTGCCTGTCAATTTGAGATAGGTATCTTTTACTCATTATTTGATACTATGTTTTAGTCTATAGTTTTGGAAAATTGTCTTTAGTATATAAACAATAAATCAACACATTATTTGGTATTGAAAACTAACAATTAAAATGGATATCATGACAAATTAAAATTTCCTGTCTATTCACTGGTGTTGGCCCAGAAAAATCGGAAGAATCAATATATAGTGATGAATATATCGAAAATAAAATTCTAAACTATAAGTTGATTTTACAAGAAATGTATTTATTAGTAAGTGGGGTAATCGTTTAACACGTTTGCTACTGAGCGTCGCATATATGCGACGCCGCGGTCATTGCCACAGACCGAGGTATACATTTGAATCTTACACATAGACCGGCTGTCACTTGGATAACAGTACACACAGACCACGGGCGAAAACCTGTAAAACAGTGGTCATTTACATTGTAATACGCTACAATCGTGTTTGTAAATAAATCATTCTTGTTTTTTTGTATTTTTTTATAACCTTTTGTAATGTCGCATATTTGCGACGCCCGGTCTACAGCGAAGACAATAGTGAAAATTATCATAGTTTTATTGAAATAGACTAAACGTCGCATAGATGCGACAGTTCATTTTTTGTGTTTTAAAGTGAAAGTAAGTAAAAAATTAAACAGATTATTCAAGAACAGTTTATAACTGAACGAATATAAAAGCTACATAGGATAATGCAGCATACATACTGCATTCATACATACAGTGATGCAGAGAAGTAAAGACCAGTTTTTCCAACTATTATATGACGTCACCAATCATCATATCCACAGACCAAGCGACGCAGTTGTGCGTCAGACATCTCTGTAGACCACTGCTGGGAATTCAGTGCCTTCAAATAGACCACTACAAAGATATAAGCATTTTAATAACATTAGAACCCCGACGCAAATATGCGTCGGCAGTCCGTTTTAATGTGACTAGCCGTCGCATATATGCGACGGCAGTCTATGGGTGGAATCCGGCCGTCGCATATGTGCGTCGCTGGTCCATGTGAATGGAAAATTTCGTACTATTGCAGTAGCGAACGTGTTAACTTCTTGATGTACTTTGTTGTAGGCATATCACGGTGGCGTCTGCTAACGTAGCTGTATCCTACCCCAAGTCTGGCTCCTTGATCTCAAAGGTGAATATCCTAATTGAAACAAAGAAATCAATTGTTACATACATGGACACTGTAAAAGGTCTCTTAAGCATTTTTAACATTTTTTCCATATTGAGCTGATCTGTTTCCCACATAAAATTCAAGGAAACTCTTTCAGTGGTGGAGTGAAATTCCAAACTACATAAAGACTATAACCTGTTAGACGATATGGATAGAACATTTAGTTTAAAACAGGTAAGAGTGTCGTGCCCTCCTCTATGGATCAGTGACTGATATCAATAGCTGTTGACCACTGAGACCAAACAAACCTAATCACAGAACATTTTGAAATTGTCAATTTTTGAAGCTATGTTTTTGAATACCAAACAAATACAGGATAAACATGACTAATAATCTTATAACAGTGGGTCCACCAAAAATAGTAGAATCATTTAACACTAGTAATTAGATGTGTGTGCCGGTCAAGTTAGGATACATGTTAATAATTCTTTGATTCTGTTTTAGATCTTTCCGACTTTGCGTGCGCGTTAAATTTTTCAAGAGGATCACACATGAACTTCCTTTACGTAGATGTTGACATCAGGTGTCTTCTGTAAGAATTAGAGGTATTTTTTTATATTTCTTGTAACTAAATATGTAAAATGGTTTGATAAAAATCACTTGGATGAAAGATATTTTAAAAAACTCAAGTAATACGAATTCAGGTGTCTTATTGAATTAGCCTGCTTTACTGGGACGTCAGTTCGATGGAGACTTTATCTACGAACAAAGTCATAATCTTTCATTACATTTAAACCAACCTTTTGGTTTCATGGGATCTTTTTTCATGCATTTTGCATTAAAGTGTAAATACATGTTATTTGTAATAATTACAATGTACTTCAATATATTACAATATACAACATTTCAGTTTAGTATATAAATAGATACTAAATAGATATAATTTAAAAGGCAATATTGGAATATCTTTGTAATTATAAACTCACAAAATTTAATTTTTAGTAGTGGGGAGGCAAATGTAATCAAATATGTCAAATTCCAAATTTGGCTCACCCCAAAAGGTAACCGGTGAACACTATGCTAGATGATATTGTATAGTAGTAGAGATGATATTATGACCGGTGTTCACTCTGTATGAGTGGGACTCTCTTCTCTGGACGCCATTTTCCAAAATGGCGGATGTCAACTTTTGATCTTTGAATAACTCAAGCAAAAATGATCCGATTTTGATGAAATTTGGTATAAACGTTTAAACTTACATTTATTCTAATGAGTTCGAGAACCAGCATGATCGGACCATGGGAGAGGGGGTTTATGGGGGGTTTTATGGGGTAAAAATGGGATTTTCTTTTTTTTTGCCCCCAAAGCACAACATTTTCCAATTTCTCTCTAAACCATTTTAAAGAACTTAAAAAAAGAAACAATTTAGTAAATTAACGTTTTTTGTACCCTTATTGGTTACGGAGAAAAATAAAAAAGTGTTATTTAAAATTCCCATGTTATTCTTATGGAGGATATTGTCAACTCTTGTAGTTTGCTTGTTTATGGATATATTTTGATCAAACTTGGTAAACTTATTTATTTATACTAAACTATTAATATTAATATTCTACTAACATTCACACTTTATTCGCCTCCATGTAGCAGCAAACCTAGGTACTCGTTAAACCTAATTTTATTTAAATTGAATTAATTTAAATACAAATCAGCCAAATGGAAATTCGCGTAGTCTGCAGGTTCGCTGTGACGGGGGTGTTTTATTCTTGAAATTTTTTCCTAACCCTAGTGGGTCAGGAGATATAAGCATTTAAAGTTGGTGTTTCCTCCATGATAAATACATTGATCCGTTTTAACTGTCACTCTAATGTATTTTCTGTGCTATTCCGTTGCATTTCTTAAGAGTGCAAAAACTTTTGAATTGGCAAATAATAACAAAGCTAGATTATCAGGCACATCTCAGATTCGCACGATGCGTTAAAATATCAAAAGTATCGTTTTATTTTAGTTTTTTTCTCCATGAATTGTATTTTGGCGGCCATTTTGTGGGATCAAATCAAATTTTAAGTTGTAGATTTAGTTTCCCCACCCTCTTAAACATTAAAAACGATATACTACACACTATAACTAGCAAAAATGTTTTTAACTATTTTTCTCTGGGAGCGATTATTATTTTAAATTAAATGACATAATATCAGGTACTTTACCAAGTCGGATTTAGGTAGACTTTTTTTGTTGTTGTGTGGAGGTATAAAAGTAATGAAATCCGTCGAAAAACCTTTTGAAACAATTTTGTTGAACCTCCACTATATATTTCTCTTTAATGGCAAGACTAATACAACTCCACAGACTCTTCATGCCGTAGTTTATGTTTATCAATATTGCTCTTATTGCAAAAACTGACTTAGCAACTTGTTTTATGCAATTTCGGATCTTTAAGCTCTAGTATTTCTATGTCTGGCTTGAGACGCTTCAATACATCCAAATTATTTGCATCACTGTAAGACAAATGTTTATAGTAGCATTCCAACTCGATTTATTCCATCTTTGCCACCATTTGTGAGATTTTCATTAAATACAACAACTTGGCAAAATATGCATAAATCCCAGTTTGTTAGCTCCGAAACTTTACGCTTCACTGGCAATCTGGCAACAGGTATCAATGTGTTGATTTGATCCCACAAAATGGCCGCCAAAATACAATTCATGGAGAAAAAAACTAAAATAAAACGATACTTTTAATATTTTAACGCATCGTGCGAATCTGAGATGTGCCTGATAATCTAGCTTTGTTATTATTTGCCAATTCAAAAGTTTTTGCACTCTTAAGAAATGCAACGGAATAGCACAGAAAATACATTAGAGTGACAGTTAAAACGGATCAATGTATTTATCATGGAGGAAACCCCAACTTTAAATGCTTATATCTCCTGACCCATTAGGGTTAGGAAAAAATTTCAAGAATAAAACACCCCCGTCACAGCGAACCTGCAGACTACGCGAATTTCCATTTGCCTGATTTGTATTTAAATTAATTCAATTTAAATAAAATTAGGTTTAACGAGTACCTAGGTTTGCTGCTACATGGAGGCGAATAAAGTGTGAATGTTAGTAGAATATTAATATTAATAGTTTAGTATAAATAAATAAGTTTACCAAGTTTGATAAAAATATATCCATAAACAAGCAAACAAGAGTTGACAATATCCTCTATAAGAATAACATGGGAATTTTAAATAACACTTTTTTTATTTTTCTCCGTAACCAATAAGGGTACAAAAAACGTTAATATACATTATTATTTTTTTTTTAAGTTCTTTAAAATGGTTTAGAGAGAAATTGGAAAATGTTGTGCTTTGGGGGCAAAAAATAAGAAAATCCCATTTTTACCCCATAAAACCCCCCATAAACCCCCTCTCCCATGGTCCGATCATGCTGGTTCTCGAACTCATTCGAATAAATGTAAGTTTAAACGTTTATACCAAATTTCATCAAAATCGGATCATTTTTGCTCGAGTTATTCAAAGATCAAACGTTGACATCCGCCATTTTGGAAAA